CGTTTATGTTGAAGTAAGAATTAAAAAATCTAGTATATTACATAGCTAATTCATTTTTAAAAACTAAACGATTATTAAAAGAGTTTTTAAAAGGCATAGTGTTAACCTTAGATTTGAAACAAGTTTTTTTCCCATGATTATAACTGGATAGTTTAACACAAGGCATAATAGATAAAAGTGCATGGATATTCTTTAGCATTAGAAACTTTTTTTGATAATTTTATAGTCTTGCTTGCCTCTCTAAGAAATCTTAAACACTTACGGGCTTAGACGTATATTTCATTTTAAAACAGCAGTTGATTGCCAATCAGATTTGAGAATTTTGCTATAGTTATGATTAACTTTAAAAATATGGAATAGACAAATGAACAAAATGTGCGCTTAAATAATCTCATTAGTTTACGCAAAGATACAGTTCTACTTTTCCACTTTGACAACGAGCCAACAGCTTTGACCGTCGTTGTTTCTCGTTTGGATGACTACTGATTCCTAGATTGTGTTATACACTATTTATCGAGTTGCTAAGCTTGTTTTCTTTTTCACCTCAAAGTACCGGGCTTTGATGATTATATCACTATTACTGTGACACTCACAAATCAGAAATTTTTATGGAATGTTAATGTGTTGCGATAAAATTTCCAATAAGGCACGCGCGAAAATTTCCAGGCGTTCACCTTTTTCTGACTTTGACAGTACATGGAGGTGGGGGACCCGAGGTAGGTGGGGTAACCCGCTTAGGTGGAATAACCCGCTCAGGTGGGGTTAGAAAAGAACCCTCCTCTACATGCAATCTTACTACCCCTTTAACACTTGAACAAGAAAAATGTTGGCAAACCACGTGTTTTGGCTTTTCTGCACTCACTTGCTGCTCTTGCTGCAACTTTCAGTCCCGTGAAGTTCACGGGTTCGAATCCCGTTGAAGCCCTGATTTTTTTTTTTTCAGGCTTCTTCTTTCCAATTGCTTAAATTGGAAAATTCACTGCGATGATCATTCTTCACTTTCATCTACCACCGCAGTTCGAATATGAATTATTTCATATACTTCACATCTTGAAAATATATAATTGTATTGTATTTACAGGTTTTAAACCACAAAATTTTATCTTTCTCAAAGTCTCAGCCGGGGGTCTTAACATCTTCTTCAGCTTGATATTCTTATAAACACCTGTATAAAGTGTATTGTTATAGGAAAAAAAGGGAGATCCTAATCCGCGGACAATGTCAGACACTTATCTCACAAATATTCTCTGGTACATAAGCAATAGAAAAAAACCTTCCTGATTTCTGTCTAAATGTTTTTCAACTTCCTCCATCCGTTCCTCTACTCCATATGTTATTGCTTTGTTATTTACACCCACTTTTTCATGTTCTGAGCAGTTAATTTTTTATGTTTCACTCAATTTGGCGGTAAATTTGGCGACACAGCTCTTTTAAATAGTGACTCTAACTCATTCTCAAGATTTTCGGGACTCCCATAACGGTTAGTACTCTCTCTTTATGAATAGTCTTTTGTTAACATTAGAAGGTGGAAAAATAAATTTGAAGGCAAGGAGAGAAAGCGCATGAATGTTTATGCCTGCAGTTAGTTGCATTGAACTCGTGATCTTGAAATAAAATGGAGAAAACCATCAACACCATTATCATTCAGGTTACAAAATTGGCAGGCAAGAAGGCTGACAATATAATTATACTAAATGAAATGAAATGAAATGAAATGTGTCTGTAATAAGAAGAACAATGGATTGGCCATAAATGTAATTAATAATAGACTGAACATTTCTAATGATTGAAAAAAATAAATAAACTCGTCAAAACAATTCGCAAAACAGATGTCCCTCCCTTATGACTCAGAGTAGTCTCGTCGAATCATCTTGCCTCGTCGTGTGATCCTCGCCTAGTCGTCCCCTCCGAGTCGTCCCCTCGTCGAGTCACCCTCGTCGAGTCACCCTCGTTGAGTTACCCTCGTTGAGTCGTCCTCGTCGAGTCAATGTGTCTCATGGAGTAATTCTCGCTAAGTAATGGTGCCTCATCGAGTCATCCTCGGCGAGTCATCCTGTGTTATAAGGTAAGGTCATAAAGTGATATCGAGACGTCCTCGTCGAGTCTTGAGGAGCCTTCGCGTGTATTTATTTATTTTTGAGCGTCGGTAGAAAGATGACTCCATTCCCAGAAACGGTGAGTGATCCATTACCGATACATGTTAATGCGACAACGGACACTTGTTTCTTGCCCAATTAACAAATTCTAATAGAAAGGCAACATCGCTAATTCGCACACTTCATTGTCAGCTGTGTGCTATAATGAAACTTTCCTAATTGGAAGGTAAAAACATGGTTATTCGAGGAAACCCATTCCACTCCATCAACTATGGTAAGAAAGAGCATTCAGCTGACAGCTAACCTGAGATCAGGCCCAATTTTAGTAGACTGCGAGCGGTCCCTCTTCAGTCAGTCGAGTGTAAGCTCGGCAGGACTGGAGAGAGCGAATATGCTCGAATTCCTCGCTCGCGTGACCATCCCGAGGGACTGCTCGCCGTCTACAATTTTAGCGGTTCTCATACATTCTCTCTAACGGCTACCGCTACAGGGGCAGATCTAGAGGGAGGGTGCAGCGGGTGCGCACCTCCCCCCCTTTCTGAGATGACCTGCAGTTTTCTAATACAACTGGTATTCTGCAAAAAAGTTAAAAAAACTATGTGGTTTATTGGTTTTGAAGTAAAACAAGAGACGAGTGCACCCACTCCTTAGAAAAATCCTGGATCCGCCCTTTCGCTAAAAGCTGGGCCTGACTCTTTTCGTTTCGCCTTGCCTGCCGGAATGCTATTTACAAAGTGAAACGAAAATTGAGCCTAATCTCAAGTTAGCTGACAGCAAGTCGATGTTCCCAGCGCTGCAGTCCTGACCGTGATACATGCGTGACAGAAGAATACTGAATGAACACAGCAACACAAACAAGAAGCCTCATCAAGCGAAAAGGCAACGAGTTTCAAAATTATCCCAGAGGAGAAACAGCAGCCAGTAAAGGAAAACGATGCAGATAATAGAAGAAAGTACTTCGTAAATCATTCATTCAGTGTGTTCTTTTAAGTACTGAGTAGACTCACAGGTACTTCAAGGTCCCGGGGGAGGGGGGGCACTTGGGTATTTTTTGGGTGGGTATGTGCCGCCCGGGACTCCAAATTGGCACCCCGTTCTAGAAAAAACTTCCCCTAAAATTGATACCCCGTTCTAGAAATGGGCCAATTTTTTATAACCCTTTCTAGAATTCGCCCTAAAACTGATACCCCGTTCTAGAAATGGGCCAATTTTTATACTCCGTTCTAGGGTGCAACAAGAGTACAACAGTTTGCTTGTTAACGCATTGAACCGTATTTTTAAAAGCAATCTGTCCTTGAATACTTTCAAATGGCCGCTTACAGAAGTGGAGCTTTCGTGCGTTCGAAATATTATACCCCGTTCTAGGAAACCCCTCTGAAATGGATACCCCGTTCTCAATCAGGAGCTTCAAAATCACGACCCCTTTGGGCGGCACATACCCGGATAGGTAATGTCTGGGAGTACCCCCCCCCCCCGGTCAAGGTTCAGTAGTTGGTTGTTTAGTTTACCCATTACTAGTGTTATCGGTAGCATACAGCGTAAGGAAACGGACTGGTGAGGGGAGGGGAGGGTGACACTGTAAGGGGGCAGAGAAGGGGAAATTTATTTTTTAGTTTTTCACCCCACTATAACGTTTCTTGCCGTCCGGGGTTACGAAATAATTAACAATTATTCCTGAGCCCGAATGGGCTCTGAGTCAATAGCCTCGGCTATTGACTCAGAAGCCATGAGGGCGCGAGAGGAATAATTGTTTTAGTAAAATCCAACTAGTTGATCAAAAATATCGAGACAAAACAACTTTAGTAAGAAAAACGCGATTCAGTCGCCATTGTTTTGGTTTTCAAAGCCCGCGCTTTTCGCTACTAGTGGGCTATAACATATAGCCTAGTAGTAGCTCAACCAGTCAGAACGCAGCATTGATATTAGACCACTAGTTGGATTTTACTAATAAAAGGATACATGAAATACTGACAAAAAGACACCAGCTAAAGCGAAAAAGTTATCAGCCATCCCTATTTTATGATAAAAATGCTTTTAGGAAATGAAAAATATTTTCTCTAAATTTCAATTGAACGCACGGGCGTATGTGCGTATTTGGACGCTACACTCCAGCATGGATATAGTCTGCTAAATGACGACTTTCTGAAGCTTAGAGATGTTTAGATTGAGGAAGAAAGTCCTGTTTAATATTTCTTTGGTATTCTGTACAACAATAAGTCTATTTTCGCCTTAAATAACGTGTCTCGGTTAATACGGACACCCCAATGATATCGACACTTTCGATGCCCCGTTCAGCGAAAGATCAGAAATTACTCGTCAACATACAAAAAACAAACTTGTACTATACTACGTCACGCAACTTAATAGTCGCGGTTGTGAAAAATATAACTATAATGAGATCGGCTAAATTTAATAGCGTTAATTCTATATTGGCAAACCCTGGGTAAATAGACTTAATTCTATGATAATGGCGCACCCTGAGTAAATGGAGTTAATTCTATAATGGCGCACCCTGGGTCGATAGAGTTAATCCTGTATTGGTGCACCCTGGGTTAATGGAGTTAATTCTATATATACGCCTGGGTACATTTTCCGCAAAATAGAGGAAAAAGATTTTACTGACTCGTTTGCAGCTTGCACTTCAAAAAAGCGTACTCAGATAAAAAGGGAGCTAAAGTTTATTTAAATTTTCTACAAAATACCGTGTATTGCGCGTATAATAAGAGTAAGACTGAAGCCTGTTTGGCAATAATCTGCGCTAGACGCCCCACTCCATGTAATTGCTCGGTTGGCAAATCGCTGGCCAATATAGTTTTCCTTCGGCCAATGTAAGATCCATGTTGGCCCTCACTGAACGCTTCCGAGTGAGACTCGCTACGTGCGGGGAGGTGGTTTTGTAGTCTTCTAAAATTCATCGTGAACTGGTTTGCTCTTCTAATAAAAAATTTTAAAAAAAGAAAAGAAAAAATTGTTACGTACTAAAAGAACACAAGCCCTCAAAAACTATTTAGTAACACTATTGGATGAGACTGAGTATGATCTGAAGAATCATGGAGATCAAGGAGGGTGTCATTCCCCCTCGGCGGATAACACCCTCCGAGTTAGCCTGCGTAGCAGGCGCTTGGAAAGAAAGAAAGAACGGGCGCGCGAGAAGAAGACACACGCGATAATAATTCTTCAGATCATAAGAACGCCGAATACAATAATTGTTGCTGTTGTTTTAAATTTAGCTAAAACATATTTATAACAATAATAATAATAATCCTGTGAAAGGTTTGAATCCAGGAGTCATTTCAAAAGTAGGTTGAGTTTGATCGTCCGGGTGAACGTAGTCCTGAATAGGACTGTTGTTGTTGGCACTGACTGACGTTTCGACAACCTGTGCGGAAGTCATCTTCAGAGTCAAACTTTGACTCTGAAGATGACTACCGCACAGGGCCCAGTTACTCGAAGCATGGTTAGCGTTAACCAGCGTTTAATACCTTGACAACGTATTGGTTTTGATACTGCTTAACCAATGGTTAAAGCTAACCGTGCTTTGAGCAACTCAGCCCAGGTTGTCGAAGCGTCCGAGTCACTGTCAACAACAACAGTCATATTCAGGACTACGTTCACCCGGACGACCAAACTCAACCTACTTTTGAAATAATAATAATAATAATAATAATAATCTTATATAGCGCTGTTTCTCTACTGAACCAACACCGCTTTACAGTGATTGATAAAGAAAACTAAGTAACAATAAAAAAAAAAAGCCTGAAAAAACGTAATAATTAATGATTCTTACAATTCAACGTAATTTCTAAAAAGGTGATACGTCTTAAGAGTGGATTTAAAAGATTCTGCTGAGTTGCAACGTTTTATACTAAATGGGAGGGTATTCCATAGTTTTGGGGCAATAAAGGAGAAAGCTCGCTCCCCATATGTTTTAAGATGGCAGCGGGGCTGTACCACTAGTTCTTTATCAGACGAACGTAATGTCCTTGATGGTCTATAGTGAATTAAGAGGTCACTTAGGTAGGGTGGCGCTAGTTGATTAAGGCATTTAAAAGTCATTAGTAAAATTTTAAAACGAATACGCTCATGAACGGGTAACCAAAGTAGATCTCTTAGCACAGGTGTACTATGGTCGTGTTTACGTGTGGCTGTTAGAAGTCGTTAGTTTACTGATTTGAGCAACGTTGCGCAGGTGGTAGAAAGCAGACTGACATATGCTGTTTATTTGTTTGTCCGTACACATGACATTGTCGAACCACGCACCGATGTTCTTTGCCGAGTTCGATGAGTAGATCACATCTGAGCAAACAAGAATAAATTCTAGCGGGGGTTGTGGTCGATGACGGGCGTGCAAAACAAGGAGCTCAGTTTTGTCGTGATTGAGCATCAACTTACTGGCTGAAACTCAATGCGCAGTTTGGATGTACTCGGATCGCCAGCAGCACTCGGCTTGAAAGACAAATAAATTTGGCTATCATCAGCATTAAAATGATGGTTTATGTTGTGTTTACTGATGATGTCGGCGTTTACTGATGATGGTTCAATGTTGTATTTACTGATTATCTTGGTCAATGTTTCCACCTTCATTTGTCTGTTTCTGGGCAATTTCAGCAGATACAGGGATGTATAGTTCTGCAGATATTCTCCGAAGAGAGTTGTATTCTTTCTGTTCTTGCTAGTTTTAAGGCAGTACTTCGGCCATTTCTTCTTGGCGAAACGTGTGAAATGTTCAGCCATTTAGTATCGCTCAACCAAAACAACGCAATCTCGTCTCCAGGGCTTCTTGGTTGCCGTCCATATTTCTGGCAGTTATACCGGTGTATGACGTCATTTTCCACATATCGCAAACTTCTTCCAAATTTGGTAAACGCTTGCTGGTTATGAAGAATGAGCCACGGGATTTGAACGAATAATAAATCATCTTTCGCTGGGAAAACGACATACACTATAAATGGTGTTTCATTGTGAAACGACTTTCAGACAAAAGGTACTTTGTACACTTCCAGAGTATAAGCCAACAGACGTGCAAAAGTCTATGTGGCCAAATGGCAAATTTCGAGGCGCGTATGCTGGTGAGCAGATATTTGTCAAGAAAAATTCGCATATAACCGTTAGAGGCCCATCTTCATTCGAAAGACGACCGTCTGTTTTTGTCTTGCATCTTATCGGTTGGTTCTCGGAAATGGCGGAATTTTCGTTTACAAAAACTGTAAAATTTGCAACGCACGGGAGCGTTTACATGAGAAAAAGAGAACTGTAAGTTCGCGACGAGCGAGCGTTTATATCATGATCAGAAAAAGAGAACTATAAGTTCGCGACGCGCCATGCATCAACAACTGTGTGCTCGTTACCTTTTTCCCTTTTCCTTTCGCTTTTGTCTCTTTTCTTCGCGTCTCCTCATGTTGCTCTTCTTCTAATTCTGTTCTGTACTCTTCTAACGACCGAAGCGCAATGTTCTTGATTTCCTGCGGATTCTGCGTCTCTACCTCCAAGTGTCCGTTCACTGGCTGCAAGAAAAGGGGGAAAGTACTTTACTTAAACGAGGAGAGAATAATAGGAGAGAGAGTGAAACGCCCAGTCTAGCCCTTGGGGTATGTTAATTTCACCAAAGTTATTTTTAGACCAATTGAACGCTTGAATTAATTGGAAGATGGTTTCCGGGGAGGTCTCCAAAACCAGTGTTGTCAAGAGTAAATAAGCCTTGGACCAGGCTCCGCAGTAGGGGAAAAAGGAGAAAAAAATTCCGCATGGGCAAAAAAAAATAATCGGCATAATCGGAATGAGTAATGATGCCCCCATACATGAGTGTGAAATAGAGAAAAACCTCAGTACAACTTGGTAATCTACACAACCCAGACAATTACGATTCTATCTCAGCAAAATAAGAGAGACATTGGAACCTCTGAAGTACATAATAGTTAAAAAACAATTTACAGTAACAGTTGTCAGTGATTTAAGAAAAGTGATTCCGAAACAAACGCCGCACTCGAATAAACGCCACCCTTATATAAACGCCGCATCGGAAACGCTGAAAATTTGATAAAAGCCGCGGCGTTTAATCGAATAAATACGGGTAATTTGTGTTTGTTTTTGCAGGGATTTTATTCACCAGTAAGTGAAAACATGGGCAACGATATATAAATTTCGTTAACGAAACTATCTGTTCATTTGATTGAAAAATAGTGAGTTACTTTTCATTGAAAATGCTTCGCGTCCGGGTTAAATCACGCTGGAAAATGGCGTCGACAGTAACACCAACTTAAACACTTCGAACTCTTTTAGTGAACTTTCAACAGTGAAAGAATCAACCTAAGCTTTGAAGTGCTCAGAAAACGGTCAAACTGTATTAACCCTTTAAGTGCCGAGAGTGATCAACATCAATTTTCTCTTAACATGATCAATACACAATCAAGAGAATGAGGGAAAATGCTTTGCTCTGTTATCAAATTCTCTCAACTTACTCTTTATAGAAATGTATAGAGACCAGTTTGGAGAATTTGTTTGTGGATCTTAAAGGGTTAAGCAGTCAGTTGGCCATTCCCCAAGGGTGACCGCTTAATGCAGGCTTGACCGTATTTCCAACGAGAATTGCTATGCTAATCTCACCTGTGTCATTCCTTCTCCTGGCGCACCAAGGTATAATTTGACAGTAGGATAAGCACGTACACCGGCCTCAGAACACAGATGGTAATCCTGCTCACAGTCTACCTTACCCGCCTTGACACGTCCATCTAATAACTACAACAATATTAACATACTGGTTAAAGGAGCTGTGCCACTGACGAAATTTATCAAAATTCAAAAAGTGCTAACTGACATCTCCACAGAGGCCTCTTTGTGCCGCAGGGGGGCTGGGGAGAGGGAAAAATGTGAGCGCGCGGGGGACGATGGGAAGGAGAAGAGTCTTCCCATAGTTCCCCGCGCGCTTATTGCTATTTTCACAGGGATACCAAGCGGGAGCCTGTGCAGAGGAGAGAGGAGCAACCGCTATTTTCCCCTTGGAGGGCAACGATGGGGCAGTGGCGAGAGCACTCGCCTCCCACCAATGAGACCCGGGTTCAAATCTCGGCGTCGACGACATGTGTGGGTGTTGAGTTTGTTGATGGTTCTCTCCCTTGTTCTGACAGCAAGACAGCAAGAAACGTTATAGTGGGGTGAAAAACGAAAAAATGTACAAATTTAAAACTTTTCTTGGGGAGCATACCCATAGACACCCCCCTTCCTTGGAGCGCCTTTGGCGCTCTAACTTTTCTTCCAGCACGTACACCTTCAAAATCTAAAGCTACGCCCCTGATCCACATCCGGATTGGCACCCACCTTTGCTACTTTCTCGAAGTCAGGTGCAAACTGAATACAATGCCCGCACCACGGAGCGTAAAAATCGATAATCCACGCATCTTCACTGCCGACAACAGCCTCATGGAATGAATAGTGATTGAGTTGCGTGACTAACGAAGGCAGGTGCTGAAACGCCCAGCTGTAAAGAGAATCCACGTCTCGCCATCCACGGTGGTTTCTAAAAAAAATGGAGCCACAAAAGCGAAAAACAATCGGTTGATTTTATAGACAGTAGGACAATAAAATTATGTTAGATAAGTCTGTATATACAGTCAACTCTCTCGCTAAGATGAACACCTTTGGAAGCGAACAGGATGACCGTCGTATAGAGAACCAAATATCGGTAGTCAAGAAAGACAGGGACAAACTCTAGGTGTCCGTTTTACCGAGGTGTCCCTCTAATAGAGATGTCCGTTAACAGAGAGTCGACTGCACACGTAAATTTTCATTTTTTTTCCGACAAAAAATCGCTATGAGCAACCACTTCTCTCCTCCGCAGAGGCCTTTTTTTGACGCAGGGAGATTGGGGAGAGGGGGAAAAGAAAGCGCGCGGGGTATGATGGGAAGGAAAAGAGAGGAAGCGTCTTCCCATAGTCCCCCGCGCGCTTAATGCTGTTTTCACTGGGAAACCTAGCGGGAGCCTCTGCATAGGAGAGAGGAGCAACTGCTATTTCCAGAAAAACAAAAACACGAACGACAACGACACAAGAATATTAAGTTCGGAGCGGCGAAAACTTTTGCCTGTTTCTAAACACAATTTACAAGTAGCACCAGGCTCCGCGCAGATAAAAAGGGCACAGAGAAGCATGGCGCGAGTAAGAGAGCTTGTCGTACCGCTCTAACAATACATGTACAATCCTCCTCAAGAGAGTCAAGAATGCCCAAAGCGAATTTCGTCTTGATAGAGCGATTTTAGTATGACCTTGAAATGAAAACGAACGGAAATAGAGCGATTTGATTGGTTTATCGAACGGATACAAAGGCGCGTAGCTTTTGCTTGGTTAGGCGAACGCTCAGCTGAAAAACTTCATGGCCGAGAACTTTCTAGAAATCAACCAACCCTTCGCTTTGACGTCATACTGCAACACGATTGGCCAATCGAACAATGCCTTCTCCATATTAGGGTTTTCTTTGGGGGGGAAACGAAAAGTCCATGTTTTGATGTTTTCATCCATTGGCTGATAAAACAAACAACGAACACTTACTGAAACCATTTTTCAAGGTGATACTAACATCGCTCTAACTCATTTTAATACTCACACAAAGCGACGAGCTCCCTGACTGTTGTGGGGGTACAACCGTATGGTGGGATAAGAATTCACTCCTTGCTCTTGACAGAACGATCGGTACTTTTGACAGTCTACTGATCCAACACTAGCCTCTTCTTGCATTTGCTGAGAAATAAAATGCACACTGTTTCACTTCTTCAACTCTAATCTCCAAACGATGGATAAACGGATAAAGTTCTAACATTCAAACAACTGTTTGTGCACACAGGGTACTTTAGATATTTTACAGTGTGAAAATGAAAATCACTTCAAGCCCTTTGAAATTAGCCTTTAGGCGTGCTTGTGTAGGCTTTGTTGGACTTCACCCACTTGAACGAAGAGGCGGTAGCATCCGAAACGTTTTTACAAACGCCAACATAAAGCGCTTTAGGATAATGTTCTTTTTCACACGACTGTCTTAAATATTTACAAGCGCCACACTCTTACTTCAGATTTTGCTGCTACTGTATAAGTTTCAACCTTACTCTGAGACAAGTTCATTTACCATTTATTGTCAGAAAACAGCCGGATTTTAACCTGATAACCCTGCTCCGTTGAGCCAATCAAGTTGCAGTGCTCAATATCCTAAGATAACGAACCGATAAGATTGCTTAAAACACACATGTCAACGACTGTGTGTACACAAATCAGGAATGTTCTTACTATACCTTGGCAAGTTTATTCCAATCAGGAGCGAGCTCATTACACGGCCCACACCAAGGAGCATAAAAATCAACCAGCCAGGTTTCACCTTGCCTTCTCTCCGCAACAAGAGATTGAAATGTTTCTGGTGTTAACTGAACCACGGCGGGCTTCAGTGTATTCTAAAACAAAAAAGAGGATTTAATGTTGCTGTATTAAAATGCTTATCCGACATCAGACGATTTAAACTCATTCAGACGAACTTAACTGAGCCAGAAGTCGAAATTTTCATGAGATTAACTCACTAAGGTTGGTTTGTCATATGAAAAGTTCGACGTTTGGCCAAGGCCTTTACCCTTTTAGACTGCAAAACAGTCCGTATTTTTGCTTATTCAAGTATGCGCGAGAGGTCAAACAAAAGGTCTGGAACGAGGCTGAAAGTGAGGCTCGCGCGCCTCGCGCGCGTAAGACACTCACGCCACGCTTTACCGATTTCTTTACTGATTTTGAGAAAAAAAACCGACTGTTTTGCAATCTATAACCCTTTAAGTCCCAAGAGTGACCAACATCAATTTTCTCTTGACATCATCAATACATAAGTAACAGAAAAGTTTATGAGAATAAATAAAATGATCACCTAAGGGCAAATGCTTCAATCTTTTATCAAATTCTCTTAACTAAGGAAATCAGGTGATACAGAGACCAGTTTGGAGAATTTGTATGAGGATATTGGGGCTTAAAGGGTCAACAGGGTTCATAAAAGAATTGCAACCATTTTTCAAGGACTTTTCAAGGACCACATTAGATTTTCAAGGACCACCTACTAGGAATATGATTTCACAGATTGTACAAAAATGCATTCCCAGTCTATTCTAATAAGGCTTGAACTGTTTGCTTCACCAACTTCTCTAAATGTTTCAGTTTACTGGTCTTACATTGATAGTTAATTACTGCATAAAATTTATAGCACTTTATTTAAATAACCTTTAAATTCTCTGCGCTATGATCTATATTCTGTCTTGGACAACCAAAAAGCATCAAAAAACTCTTTCCAGGCCACTACATTCAAAGTTGAAGAAAATTCAAGGAGTATTCAAGGACTTGCACAGAAATCTACGGACTTTTCAAGGAAAAATGGAATTCAAGGACTTTTCAAGGACTTCCCCTAAAATTCAAGGACTTTTCAAGACTGTGCGAGCCCTGTTTAATGAACCAGATGACTTGCTTACCTCAACAAATTCCACTAAATCAGCGGCAGTATGGTGACCAGTAAATTGATGAGGAATGCTGTTGTTATAGAGGATTGTTGTTGGATATGAGCGAATATTATACTGAAAAATAAAGCGTCAAGAAGCTGATGAATCTCTTTTGTTTTGTTGCAAAGGAAGCAGCATGACAAGTGCCCTGTTTCAACTGCGAATGAGGGGAAATAACAAAATGTATTTAATACCAAAAATTATCAGAAACCTTAAACAATTTTCGAGTGACGCAAGTGTTTGCCCATTAATTGTCTGCTTCCTTTCCAGCAGCAGATGAAAAATAACTCAGGTAATCACGCACAAGAAATAACAAGTTCATGGATCTAAAACGCGGTGTCACTCAACATCGAAAAAATCGTACGCCGAATGCATCGGGAAGGAGTAATGTGTACACTTATGTAAATGGCTTCTTTATGTGATTAGCCTGCGCGCGTGGCGGGCTTCCGAAAGGGAAGGAAAAGCGGATTGAGGGGGCGAGAAAAGCGCGAGGGGCGCGCGAGGAAGGAGGGAGGGAACGCGTTCCCCGCTCCCTTCTCCCTCGCGCGCGGTCTCGCACCTAAACTCCCTTCTCCTTTCCTTTCGAACGCCTGCCACGCAGGCTATTATGTCATCGGTTTTACACATGTTTTCTAGAATTACTTTTTTTCTGGCAAATCTTTAAAACATACTCGACATTATTCTTCTAGGACTGTTTGAAATTCTTACTCTTTGAAAGACTGGAGATGTTTAAGATTAATTTGTCCAGAGAGATGAAATTTTGGGAAGAAAAGTCGATTGTTTTGCTGTCCGTTTTGTCGACCAGTCTCTCTCCAGAGGAAGGGAAAAAAGAGAAAATGTAAAAGGGATAGAGGAGGAGGAAAGAGAAGCCTTTTTTCTTTCTCTGCATTTGCGATATCCAAGGCTGTTTCCCCCTCCTCTTACCCTGGCTCCAGAGGTCCGTTCTCACAATACCTAATAAGCTGATTTAGCAACAGAACGGGAACGTCATTTGACGACGGGAAAGCGCGCAGAAAGGACTAAACTCGACTTCCAGAGCCCAATTTGCCGCTCTGCCATTCGTCAAGCCAGTTGTTTGATTTGCGCGCGCCGTTGTCAACTGACGTTCCCGCTCTGTTGCTAAATCAGCCTAATATGAAATAAACCGTGCTCCTGATGTTAGCAATAATTAATGCTACATGAATAAATTATGAATATACTGAATAATCTACTAAAGTGCATCTTACCATATGACATAAATTAGGGTGCACTGTACAGTCTACCGTACCAAAGCCAACTTCGCCGTCTTCGAATGAACGGGCAGCTTTTCTGTATTCAGGTAATAAACGCATACAAGGCGGACACCACTGAAAGATGTAAAAATTAAATTACTTGAATCAACGACCGTGAGAACTGTTCAAGGAAACCTTCACTGTTGTGGCAAACAGGCCATTTTCACGATGGTGTCATTTTACTGCTACGACCAGAATACCTTACGTTTTTCCTTTAATATTTTAATTTGGTAATTCCAGAGCGGTTTCATAAAACAAAAACCGCTAATTTGCGCAAGAAAGCAAAACCCTGAAGGATTCTGGTCATAGTAGTAAAATGACGTCATCATGCAAATGCCCTATTGGCCTTCCTATCGGAAAAGCAAAAATTACTTTCTGACAAGTGAAAATAAAATTTTGATTTTGTCGAATAAAGTCAAATAAAAACATTACCCTTGTTTCAATTTCCCGCGCCCCACCATTTTGAACTTTTAACGTCATTTTGGGTCAGCCGGTCAGCTATTGGCCAATTTTTTTTCCTGTCCCTAGTGACAGTCCCAGAAGTCTTTGCAAAAGTTAACTCGACCCAGTTTCCTCGCGTTTCTAAAGTGACAAATTCCTTTTAAGGTCCGAGTCAAAACGAAGTGATGCCTATCTGACTGGTTAACGGTCGTTTCGATACAAGTTTATTCAGTCGACTTGTAAATTGTTTCCCGTACTTGGGTTAAAGAACGAAAAATATTCACCCAAAATATTTTCTTGTTCACAGGGAGCTATACTTGAAGTGATCGAGATTTTTTGTGCAATTTCACCGCTTGAGTTTGTATCGAAACGACTTTATATCGAAACGACCGGTTACCATCTGATGCCCTAGTACCTAATCTAAGCCGTTAAATTTAAATGGCAGTTTCTGGGCGGTATGACAAGGGACAAAGTATAATGTCCTTACTGGAGCAAAAAAATCCACGAAGAACGGAAGTTCAGGCTGGGAAATTTGTGCAGGGAAATCGTCAGGCCCTAGAGTCCGGACGCTGGAGGATGCACTTTCCTTCGCAAACACAGCAATGTCGTGGGCAGTGAAGCGGCCTGTTTAATAAAAAAAAATTGATCATCTTATTAAAAGCGTCTACCTTTCACTACCACTTATACGCCCCCCCCCCAACCTCTCCTCCCCAAGGGATTATAGGGCTATACATACCGTGATGCCACTCATAGTGACCACGTGTTTTAAACAGAGCCACCATCGGATATTTTCTGACATGAACCTGCCGGCATATCTCTGTTTCTTTACTACAATCAACATGACCAACCTACAAAAACAGCCAAAGGAAAAATGAAACTATTATTTTCATCCAATCACAAATCCCACCCCACAACAAAAAAGTGCAACTTGCTTTGCGACATTGCTGCAAAGCGAGTTGAAGAGCGATGTTGGGAATTTTTGCACCCAAGAAAACAAACCTATCCTGCATCAACTCAGGTCGTTGAAAGCTGCGAAAAGGTTTCCCAGAAACTAGCGAGAAGTTCTACTTTTTCCAGCAAAATCTGTATATGTTGCGCGTTTTACCGTGTACGGCCTCGATGGTATCAACCTACCCAGGCTTCCACTAAGTGCGCCCCTCTGATTACATTTATGATGTAATATATCAAGCATGAGACGCAGTGTTCCATCGTGAACCAGAGATGAAACAACGAGAAGAGAGTTCAAAATACGACTCGCAGCGGAGTATTTTTGATGAACTTCGAGGTGTTTTATCTGGTGATGAAACACTGTGTGGAATGCTTGATATTACTTCTCGAAAAAAAAAAAAAGATTTTAGAAGGAGAAATTAAGGATGCAAAACTGGGCAGTTTTTCATCTGATTTCCAAATGCACTCATTAAACATTTTAAATTTCCTTTGAATTTTCTTTATGAATTATTAATGAGTTTGAGCAGCTAGATTCTGGATCGTTTACAGATGTAACTGGAACTAATAAAACTTACATTAATATCTGAAGTGAATGCAGGAAGTTTTCTGATTTCTAAGTTGTCCATGGGTCCCCTATCAAAATGTAAGACCCATGGCATTTCTGTGGCAGAGGAAAGTTTTGTCTTCATGTCCTGTTAGGCAAAAAATACTCTCATTAATAACACCAATTATTACAGTCGAAACTTCATGTGCGACCACCTATCGTAAGTAACCACCTCCCATAGGCGACCACTTAGCAAAAACACCGAACTTTTCCCAGTCAAAGTCTTACAGTTTGAACCTCTCATAAACAAGCCCCTCCACCACTTTTTAGGTTGACGGTTTTAGAATTTTCCATTGTTTTTAAGCGACCACCTGATACAATGGTCTGATCTTTAAGTTTTCTGTATGTACAATGCTACTTATAGTATGACAAGAACCGTTAGAAACTGCATTGGTTTACATACATTGCAACTTAAACATTACATGCAATACAATCTCTGCAAAAAGTAGACGTGTCCGGATTTCTCCCCTTAAAGGACCTTCTGCAGTTTCTCTCTCGTAAGAGACCACCTCTTGTAAGCGACCACTTCTTCGCATTTTGGGTGCTCGCTTACGGGAGTTATGCCACGTAAAACGTGTACATGCAGTGTTACAGAAAAGAATTATCATGCTAGGGCTTTCATGAATCATCACGAAAAAGGAAATGAGAATAAATAAAATGATCTCCAAAGGGAATCGCTTTGATCTTTCATCAAACTGTCTCAAGTACAGTCAACTCCCTCTACGACGGACACCTTTGCGACCGGCAGTAAGTGTCTGTCTTAGAGAAGACGTCCATCTTATAGAGAGTCAAATAAAGGGAGTAAAGAAAGGCGGGGACCAACTCTAGGTGTCCGTTTTACAGAGGTGTCCGTTAAGAGAGAGTCGACTGTAATTCTTTAAGAATTGTATGAAGATCACTTTGGAGAATGTGTATTTGGATATTGGGGCTTAATCCTTTAGGTCCCTTGGAAGAGTGACCAACATCATTTTTCTCTTAAAAATATCTACGCATAGTTAAAAGAAAACGCAACGAGAATTATTGAAATGATCACCAAAGGGAAATCGCTTTGATCTTTCATCAAATTCTCTCAACAAATTCTTTAAGAAATGTATACAGATCAGTCTGGAGAATTTGTATTTGGATATTGGGGCTTAAAGCAGACGTAATTTAACCCCGGTTAGTAACGTTTTCGAAGCAGCCCCAATATCCTTGTTCTGGGTCCCCAGCGGACTCAAGGAATTACCGGAAGTGTGTTTCGAATTTCCTTTCAACCTGATTGGCAAATCAACAATGGCCTTTTTAACAGGCCAATCATGGCGCGTATTCAAATCCTGGTACACAGGTTGGAAGCCCAGAACAAGGATTTCCGGGCTGTTTCGCGGACGGACTTAACCAGAGTTCAGTTTCGTCTGTGACGCAGGCTAAGTGTTGATTGGCCATCCCTGAATTACCGGTACCCCAATTCTCTTTGCCTAAATGAGGGCAAGTTTGCTATGAAAATAATTTTCTTTTTTCATTCAAATAAAACTTACAATGTTTTGTCATATGGAAGGGCTTGCACTTTACCTCGTTTTGAAAGGGTTTATGTAACTCGGAAAGGAGCTTTTCTCAATAATTACCTCAAATGTTTGAAAATCCACATTTACTGGATCTGGCAGTTTCTTCAGTGCAAAACTCACAATCTCTTTGGTTTCTAGACTGTCAATAATCTGTTGGAAAAGGCAAAACGAAAGAGGGAGAAAGAAAATACTTGCTTCTTGACATTTCTTTTTAAATACCGATTTACCTTACAACACTCAATTTGACGACAACATCAAGCCTATCTGAGTTTTTGATATATTGTAGTTCGCCTGCATAGCTGGCTCCGGTTGTTTAAACGTTGAATAGCGCTACCCATCGGATAAATCGCTATCCAGTGGATAACTATGAGGAAAATCAATTGCGTTATCCACTAGGTAGAGATTTATCCAGCCGCACCTTTCCAACAACTATCTTGGTGGTTTCTTGGTGTCGGTGCTTCTTCTTTTGTGGTTCGTAAAGTAAGAGATACAGCTGTGCGAAAGCCAGAACCGAGGTCGAACCAGAAAATGATGGGGAAGGGGGCAGGGGGGGAGGGAGGCGAGGAGGCTATTGAGAAAAACTCTCTTTCTCCTCCTTGCCATCTCCCCCCATCGTTTACTCTTTTGACCTCGCGCGGCCGTATAAATACGAACCAAAAACAAAATTCGCACCAAGAAAAACGCCAGCTACGCAGGCTAAAATATCATCATCATCATCAATCTTTATTTATACACGAAATCGTATCATTTTACATGGTCTTCCTAGGAATCGTGTTTAAAACTAGACTAAAATACTCTAAGGAACTATTGACTATAATGTTAAAAATACAAAAAAATACATTATGAATAATAAGAGTTACAATGGGTCATGGTGTATTAGAAAAATCTTTCCCATGAGTTGAAGTTTTAAAAACATTTAAAATAGGGAGTTTTCGAATCTCTGAGGGAATCTTGTTCCACAGAACAGATCCTCTGTAGTGTAGGCTCCCTTTTGCAGACTCAGTTCTGGGTCTGGGGACATAATAATTTAACTCAGAATTTCTAAGATTGTGTGAATGTACATTTGAGGTGTTGGTAAAGATCCGCCTCAGATACGATGGGGAAAGATTATTATGGATTTTATACACTGTCACAGCCAACTGTTTAAGTCTTACATATTCTAGCCTTTCCCAGCCAAGCTCATCCAACAAAACACTTGAGCGAACGTCATAGTTAGAAAAGGTGAGAATTCTAGCAGCCCTATTCTGCAGCTTTTGAAGTTTGTCTGCTAGTCCCTTATTGATATTACCCCATACGGCACCACAGTAAAGTAAAACAAAGTTTGTAACTGACAAACTGAATGCTCAAAACCTGAAAGGGTTTTATATAATGAACACAAGTTAGAAAAGCATTGTTTTTGTAAAACAAAAGATTTTACAACAAGGCTCAGGTCCCACCTCTCCTTTTTTGGGTCCAACTTCATCCTTGAAGTAAACCAGATCATCGCTGTAACCAACTTCTTTGCATAATCTTTTACTTGTACCACAATCAATACTACCAATATTGACTAAGTTATCCTAAAAAAAAATCAAATGGTAAAAATCTCTGTCGTTACAACCGCAACCTCTTTACAACTAACTCTTCTTCTCCTCAGCCATAAAGTTGTGAGCTTAGCATGGATTAGGATAAAAGGAAAGATTACAAGTTAACCCTTTAAGCCCCAATATCCACAAACAAATTCTCCAAACTGATCTCTATACATTTCCTATAAGAATTAGTTGAGAGAATTTGATAAAAGATCAAAGCATTTTCGCTTTGGTGATCATTTTACTAATTCTCATAACCTTTTCTTTTGACAACCAATGGATATTGTTGGGAGAAAATTGATGTTGGTCACCATTGGGACTTAAAGGGTTAAACAACAACAAGTTTGACTCCAACAACAAAACTTTTCATAGGTCATTGCTCTTTAACTATAAAGGCTGATGACAGAAAAGCCACTAAGGGCCAGATCATACAGTCCTTGATGTGCTTCTACCCTACCTGCCAAACTTATTCTTGAATTACGTTCAACAAAAGCTTAGCACAAGCACGACACCTCAATCAATTTTTGAATTTGATTCGGCAGGTCAATCAAGTTGAACAACAAGGACCCTGGCATGGCAGTGATTAAAATATCATGGCTATGCCGAGATAAAGATGGAAATATAACTATCAACCTCACCAAAATTGCAGCCAGTTTGATTTTAGTATCTGAAGTGAGACAATCTGTAAGATAAATAATGGACATGACTGAGTTGGACTATATGATATGTATGTGTTGCAGTTAATTTTTTATTTCAGTTAATTTCTATTTTTCCTTTGTTTCAAATTCGTTAGCATACATTATCATACCCAAAAACGATGGAAAAGTAAAAATTAACTGACATAAAAAATTAACCACAACATATATTTTAAAATTCTAGATGATAATTCAAGCCTGATATGAAAAAGCAATAATCAGCAACATAATAAAAATGTCAAAAGACCAGTTTTAATTATTTTGGTAAATGCAGCAAATTCTAGTCAGGTCAAACAAGCTATGAAATTGTGCCCACTCACCCACCCCCCAGCAAAGTTGCCTTCTTTGGAGGGGGAGGGGGAGGGGGAGGGGTCAGAATAGCTCCGGAAACATCCTCACTGACTTCTCCCTGACCTCGTAATAACTTTCACACTGTTCTAACGGACTTTGATGCAGTAAGCATCTGACCACAAGTCAGAAAATGTAAGGTTAGTAATAAATATTCCTACTAACTATAAAGACAAATATTTTGTTGCCAACTAAAGCCGATATTCAAACTCAAGTGCTTAAAAAAATCCAGCCACAACCTTTCTATTACATGAAAAGACAATGATGGGACTCACCTCCACCAGGTTCACAGAAATCAATTAACCAGGGATCTTCACCTTTGTTTATATGCTTTTCAAAATTGCCTGCAATAAGATTTTGGAGTAATAATTACGAAAATGTATATACTTAATGTCGTTTCATTTGCCTTGTACATTTTTCGGGTTACATGATGGAGATTATAAATAATACAATGATGTATATACAGTAATAATTGTCACAGACACTGAGATTTCTCTGTAATGAACTCACTCTCGGTTAATAAGTGGTATATACTGCGTTATTTTAAGCAAAAAAAAAAAAAGCGCTTCCACTCTGCTCTTTGTGCCTTCTTGGGAATGTTAAAACAGGCAGCATTTAAAGCAGAGCTCTTGCAGCGTGAAGAGTGAGCAGCAGAACACCATGGGTAAGAAAATTTGGTTATTCATGCATCCAAGAAATTTTGGTAGTCATGTGACCATACACCCATTGGCCCGCCCATCTGTCTGCACCACAGGATAACCAATATGAAATGATATTATTTTGTTTGTTTGTTTGAGAGCCTGCAACCTGCATTTAACTTGATAATAGACATTCATGTTATGGTCAATGACAGCTGTCAAAAATGGTTATCTGCTGACCATGCCAGTATCACATGACCATATCATGGGCTCAGGTTTCAACTTATTGAGGTCCACTTGTCTTCAAAGCTTTCTGGGCCACTGACCAGTTATTAGCTTTTAATATTGATCGCAGGCTCAATTTAAGTTTAATTATTTCAGCAGCGATTGTTTCTTGTCCATTGAGCCCCTCCTTCAAATAAAAGTGTACATCTGTGGATTTCTTTGCAATAGTTCCAAGTTCACTGTTCAAGTAAATTATAACTGTGATGAGAGCTCTGGCTATCAATCTGTGTTACAGAAAACCAAACTGAATATGGATAAAAGCTCAGTTTTGTTAAAAAATGGCTTAACTCGAATAGTAATGAATTTCTGTCTTTATTAATCTCTCCATTATTTCTGATAACCCTCATATCTGATTAAGTAGGCGATGGTGGTAGGGGGATGGAGTAAACTAATACTGAAATGTGTTCTTACCCTCCGATAAACGATAGAGATTAACTTCTAAGGAATCCAGTATATAGCTGACAAGTGATCTAGTGCTTCTTGAACCTCGGTGAAATTCATGCTAGAAGAAAATGAAAAGGAAAAAATGCTCCTTTATCAGGGCTGACATTTTAAGAAGCCAGCCTCTCAGGGAAAGTAAATTAAATAAATGTATAAAAATGCCAAAATATGCTTTAATTATTGCCAGCTGTACACAATCTAAATTGAGTGGCCCCTTTAGAACAGCTGACACTCACAAAAACAGATGTAAATAATTATGACAGAAAGTAACTGTAATCATGCTGGACAACTTTTTTGTATTAACTTTGATTTCCAGATATTTAGAACATATTTTAAAACAAAGGCATATACTAGGAACCTTCTATCCCACTTGTTTTCAATATGCGTATTTTAATTCTGCTCCTTGGTGCACTCATGAAAAAATTCAAAGGGAGGCTGTATCCCCACTGATCAATGGGAACGCAGTATCCCATTGAATTTTTTCTCAAAGACACAATACACCTTTGTATATGTTCCTTTACAGATCTTTCACTTCTTTTATTTGCTAGAGTTTATAGTGTTACAGGTTTATTATGGCCTTTGCAAATTGTAACAGTTTGGACTGCTGCGGTGTGCATAGGAAAATAATTATTATTCTGCTTGATCAATTTTTAATGCAAGTTGGTTAGCCTAAATTACTTTGTATCAGCCACTCTGGCACTTTCAAAAATCCTGAATTTTCCCTTGTGCTACTGTAGCATGCAGTATACCATAAACTACCACTTATAAGCTCCGCCTACCCCCTGTTAATTAGGCCTATCTCCCTGTAGACAAAAAAACAATCCGATCATATGCCCCCCTAAAAATGTATTCATTTGATTAGAATGAATTCAATGTATTATGAGACTTTGACTGTTAATTAAAAACCAGTAAATGCAAAAAGTATTTTAATCAGCACTAAAATCAGCACTGCTATACAGCACTTTATTTATTTAAGTTATAAGCCCTTTTGGACGTAAAGCCTCTTGGTTTATAAGCCCTCCTAAACCGCTTATGAAGATGTATATTATTAGCCCAAGGCTGTTATAAGTGACCGTTTACAGCACTTGGAGTACAAAAGTAAAATACTTAATACTATGGTTTATTTTTAGTAAGATTGTTTATATGATTACCCAATGTACAGTTTCCTCCTTTCTACATCATTCATTTACTACTTGGAGATGAAGTTTGTAAGTGTTCTAAATCATTCATTGAGCAACAACACAGACTTTTCATTAGTTTTTGCAACCTATTAAACTTACCGTGGGATAGAATACAAGAGAGGGATAACTTTGTATTCCCTGCCGCCGACACAAGTTCCATTCTTCTTGGCAATTAACAGCACCAAATCTAATCACTCCTTCAAGCTCCTTAGCAACTTCTCTCCACTGACCAGTATTAATAAATAAAAACAACAAAGGGTTAGCTTCACTGTTTTTTTTATATTTTAATTTTAATTGGTAGGAGTTAAAACCACTATGGTACTGTCATGTATCTTACTCAATTGATACAAAGCAAGATCAATAAGCCCACAGATAATTACTAATAGTATAATAAACTTTAGTTTTAAAGGTAAAATCAACACTGCTATCGAGAAAAAGGAATAGAAAACGCTTCTAAACAAATGCAATAGCGATCCCATGTAAACTGCAGATTCAAATGCATTCCGTGTCTACCAGGTCAAGTTTGTCAAAAAAGGCAGGGGGCATTTAACAGAGAAAAAATACAGGGTACAAAAATAAAAGGGAACAATAAAAGCTTCTGAAAGATACCATAATTATTTTTTGACCTTATTTTAACTATTATCAGATGGGAAAACCTGACAAAAACCTAAAGTAACGAACATCTGTTTCAAGAAAATGTATCACTCTGCTTTTCTTACCGTTGGTGCTAAATCATGACAGTGGGAACAAAACGGGGAATAAAAGTTGATAAACCAAATATCTTCACTTCCTTCAACTGACACCTCTGTTAAACAAACAGTACAAAATATTTCCTAATAATCAAAATGCATTATGTATTACATTTAATAAATTATCATTATTATCATTGATAATTATACAAAGAAAACATGTAAATAATATATTTAATTTATATATTATTATTATTATTATTATTATTATTATTATTAATATCAAGGGAGCAAGTCATATTGAATGAGCAAGGGTCTGTTAGGGACACTCTACTGGTACTAAGAAGTCAATATAACTACTATGTCGACCAATCAGATCTCCTGACCAGATTGCGGACAGATTTTACGTCACCAGTATGGAATTTCTGTCACGGAGTCACAGACGTTTTTCCTGGCGAAATATCCTTAGCGGCAAGGAACAAGAAGAAACAGGAGGAGCAACGGCTCATTTCCCAAATAGCAGCTAGAAATCTAGCCCGGGCTAGCAATGATATAAAATTATACCAGAATTATACTTAACATCACTTCAGCTTGTTGCAAGGATTAGCAACATTTTAAGTTTCCCCATGTGCTTTTGAGGTAAAACAGTCAAGAAAGAGGTGGGTAAATTTTAAGCTAATTTAGGAACTAATAGAAAAAACCTCGGATGAAACTTTTCAGACAGGTCCACCTCTATTTTAGGTAAGCATGATGCATACTAAAATGTCACCAGAACAGGACAAACTTATCCTGATCCTCACCACCATTCAATGTTGTTTTGGTTGACCAAAAACAAAGACGTATCATTCAAAACAAGATTGGGAGAGAGGATGAACAGATTCATTTAGAAATACATTCTATTTTTGCACAGATGATAGGAAAAACCATGGAGGATTTTTCCAGCAGTTTTGTGGGAGGTAATCTACAGTATAAAATAAAAAGATAAAATAATGTATTATTAGCACACCCACCAAAATCTGAGTAGCTTAATGTTATAATCTCTGGGTCATCATCATAAATTCCTGTGATAAGAAAAATATCAGTAGTTAGCAACTAATTTCATTTTACAATACTACCAGCGTGCAAAGAAAGCACTGTCCGATAGCCCGGGGCTAGTGGATTCTGCTATCGGGCTAGTGAATTCTGTTTTTAACTTGCCCGACGGGCAAGTGATCTTTTATGAGGAATTTGAATAACAGAAGAACAAAACGTTTTTGGGGCTAGTTGAAATGACGTCTGGGCTAGTAAATGCTAGCTTCAGCTTGCCCGAAGGGCAAGCTGTAAAAATGATTTTCTTTGCACCCTGACTACATGCACACAGTTGTATATAAAGCTGTCTCCTGTATTGTCGAACAAACACTAAGAAGTTCTCACCTTTTCCTCAAGGACCTAGTAAGCTTTTTAACTCACTATGACAATGAGGTCAACAAAACTCTCAATCCCTTTTTTTCTTTATGAAAATACTGAAGATTAAATTATTACGTAAATGTGAATTTCCAATCTTAATTTCCATCTTCAACTTAACGCCACCTTTTCTTCATATGATGTAAACAGCTCTAGCTTGTAGTTCGAGGAGGCCTAACCTCTCATGAGCTCCTACAGTTTCTGTTAGGTCTCCTCGCCACTTCTTTTTTCTACTTATAATTATCCTATATTATGTGTAATTCATTATTGTGTGGAAAATAAAATAAAAATAAATAAATAAATAAATAAGAGTTGGTGGTAAATTTTAAGCTCTGTGAAGAAGAGGCTTGGTGAATATGTAACAGGCACTGAAGATCTACATGAACAAGACTTTTTTGGTGGTTTATTAACGGGAATAACATTATAGTTCAAATAAAAAAATTAAGCTGAAACAACTAATCTCCTCTGTAAATGCCACAATCTTACCAAATTCCTCATTAAAATAATTCCAGCTTTGGTAATGTCCTCCATCAAAGTGGTCATCTTTTAAACCCTCTTCACCATACACATCATACTTTTTACGAAGCTCTTCATCTAAATTAAAACAGTAACACACAAATAATATATCTCTCTCAGGTCACCAAAGGTAAATAAAAATGATTACGTACAGGTTTTTAAAACACATACAACTGTATTACACTTTACTCTGACACAATGGACAATGATGTAATAAATACCATGTCACACAAAAAAATGTCAGAAGCCCTGACCACTGGTAGTCAACTCTCCTAGGTGCAGAGCACTGACATACTCAGTAGGATGGCTAACAACTTGCCACTTTAGAAAATGAGGGGAAAACTGGGGTGAGATAACTTTCGCCGAGACTTCTTGAACTGTTACTAGGGACAGGGGAAAGAACTGGCCTATAGCTGACTGGCATGACCCCAGTATCCCTGCGGGGGGGGTACTTCCTTGTAAGAGGCTAATAGGGATGTGCCACTGGATGGGGTTGCATTTTCACAACTGGATTTACTATAATGGGGTAGCAATTTTAATAGAGTTACTAGAATGGGGTCGCACATACATTTTCTGATTTTTGGGGTAAGAAAGTTCTTTATATTTACTAAATGTACCAGAATGTTTGTACTGTACGGGAAAAGGAAAGTGTTCTTCATTCAATATAAGGTAGATACAAAAATAGAAAGTGACTAAGTTGGGATCAAAAATTACATATTCGCCCAAAAGTGACTAACATGGGGTCTATAATTAGGCCACAGAATAGACTATAATGGGCTAGGGGCTCTGAGAGGCCAGCGACACATTCCCAGCAAAAATTAAAACAAATATCCCCCCCCCCGGGCAAGTGACCTGTAACCTTTTTTGAAGATGGCATGTACGTTCGCTTTTTTCCAGTCCTGCTTGACTATCTGCAATGGAAGTGAGAAAAACTAACCCAAGTACCCCCTCCCCCCTTCCCCAGGCCAGTATCAATGCCAAAAACATTTACAGGACACATTTTGGCTTCAGCTCCCTTCTCGTTTCTTAAGTAGCCAACAGCAAAAAGACTGCGCATAGTCCCTTTTCAGTCAGTTGCCTTCTGATCCCCATTTTTCCTTCAGGTCTACTGGCTCAAGCATGGGGTATTTGCAGTTTTCTGAAGAAAAAAATAAAAAATGCCCAGCCGGAAGGGAATGACTTCCCTATTATTAATCAGGGTTGGCCATGCATTTTGGGAAAGCAAAATGACTTTGGGTAAACAGTATATGGTATACTACTTGTCCTTTAGGTTCAGACTTAAGGTTTCTGAGAAACTGCCCACCTACCCCTTCCCTAAGTCAACATTAACACTTACTTCTCACTTAGGGCAAAATGTTGGGTTAGGTGAGGGGTAGATAGGCAGTTTCCCAGAAACCTCAATTAATCCAGATTTCCATACAGGCTAAAACATTGATTAAGCATCACACGTTTCAACTCTATTCATATTATCTATCTGCGCAAAATAGTGTGAAATTGCTGGATGCCTAACAATTATTGTATGGTGTTGTAAGGGAATCTTACTTAAGAAAAGAATTGGGGGGAAATTTTGGGTATATTGACAAATTAATTCGAGTATAATGGTAGATTAATACCAGACATAGTTAATCAATAAAAATTGATATCAGAAATCAATCGATATCATTGATATTAATCAATTTAATCCTCCGAGCAATA